CGCCGAGCTACATACGCTATTTCATCAGTCACTGTTGATTTTCCTCTAAGTTTCATATATTTTATATTTACATCATGAACTACCCATTCTACATATTTCTATTTCAGGGGCCTAGTTCAGTCAACGTGCTTACGCTCGGGGACTAGATCCGTTAGGAGGGACAAGAGGATCATCGTTTGGGTGGTCGCGCTACCTGGCACTTGGACTTCACTACCGACCAACTGGTCGGACCGTTTGGCTCATGGATTTCATCGCCGACCAGTTGGTCGGACAATTCGACGCTCACTTCCGCTCAGACATTCACTTCGCCGCTGACCTGATAGTTGGACTGCTAGGCGCTCATCACCAACCCATTGGTCATATTGCTCGTCGCTTCGGCCTCATCAATAGCTACGCTGAGGACTTGCTAGCTATGATGGAGACTTCTCGGCCTTGAATTCTTCGTGCAAGAGTCGCCAACTAAGCCTGAGGACTCTCTTGGCATTTGGATTTTGTTACATCTCATCGCTGTGCTTTTAAGTTGCTCCATATTGTTCGAATCAGGGTGCTGATCTTTGGCAGCACTTCTGAGGTCTTGATAAGTATATGACTGATGACGTTGTTAAGCTTTTAGATTTATTTTCTTTAAACCTGCTACAAGATTTATTTCTTCATCTTCCAGCAGGCTTGGGGACTAAGTGGCTACACTTCACCAGACGGTGAATGTAGTACTTTTTTCTGATTTACCCTTCTTATTGACTAAGGAGTCTAAGTGGCTACACTTCGCCTACGGTGGAGAATTTTCAATTTTTATGTTGAATCCCTTACATCATTCTAGCAAACTTTACTCGAGTAAGTTCGAGCCTAGGTCCTAGTTGAACTGCTCGAACATCTGCTTCAACTGCTCGAGCGCCGTTTTCAACTGCTCAGACGCTTGGTTAATAGCTCAGATGCTTGTTTCAATAGCTCGGCTCCTAGTTAAACTGGTCGGAAGCCAGTCTCTGGTGATCAGCAGCAAGTTGGACAGCTCGGACAAGCTCAAGATGGCGTTGCTCAAAGGATACAAGGTGCTCGCGGACTAACTGTGGGGGTATGACCCCGGTATCCCAGGACAAGATATGGGCCGCACCATCAGAGGTGGCCCAGCCTACAAGATCAAGGCTTGCAGCACACGGCACTGGTCGGCGTGCACCGCAAGGCTAAAAGAAGATATTGTAATACCAAATAGGATATTTTCTTTGTAACTCTACCCCTCTAGAGTATATAAGGAGGGACAGGGTCCCCTAGACGATATATTGAATCGAATTATACGTAATACAATCCACAAAGACAGATGACATAGGGTATTACGTCAAGCCGACGACCCAAATCTGTGTAATCGATGTCTCTTGCGTTCTGTGTCACCATCTGGTTTTGTCACACGCACTTCCATCGATTCATCTACTACCATGGACATACCCCTCGGTAGACTGCTGACCAGATTTCATCGACAGCATGAGACCATCCCTAAGTGCCGGAGCTTCCACCGACGGTGCATCCAAAATATGAAGGATAAAACTATGTGATGCAGCGATGAATGCACCCCCAATGTCTCTTATAAGAGCACCAGAGCTTCCCGATCCTTTTGTTTCATCAAATGCCCCATCGGTATTGATCATCACAAACCCCTCAGAGGGTTTTCTCCATCCTTGATTGATTACAGCCCCCTTTTTTGATGCAACAAAGTAATTTGTTGTAATCGCTGCAATGGACATAGCCGACCTTGGTGGATTTTGGATTTGTTCTCTGTGAACCAGCTGTCTCCTTTGCCACCAAATAAACCAGCGCCCAGTGAGAATAAGCTCTGCCCGGCCTAACTGGAGCTCCGTTTCTTCACCTCCGTTCCTCATAATCTGCAGAATGAGTGCTGAACCCGATCTATCTATCATCAATAATTTCTTAATGTGTTGCCAGACGCCCAAGGAGCTCCAGATCTTTCTTCGCATCTGTTCCTAATAATCTCTCTTGTGCGGGATGTGTTGATATGTCATTCCAATTGCCTGATGTAGTCTTTGTTGTTGTGTTTAGTTGTTAGATCTTCATTGTTTCTGTTGTTCGAGTCGCGTTGTTTTGTTTTAATTCTGCTGTCCTAACCGGTCTAGGTTTATCTCATTTTTAATATGATCTACTCTCTCCTGTCTGATTTGTTTAAAAAAAGGATATAATATAATACTTATACTATCGTATTGTGGCAGAAAAGTCGTAATGAAAAATTGATGCAAATTTTTAAAAACACATTATCTTCCACCTTTTGTAAGGAATAACTACCGGAAACTGGGTGTTTGCTGAGGACAAGAATATTTGCCGAGTCCATTCTATCGGGCACTCGCAAAGAAGCTCTTTGCCGAGTGCTGTAAAAAAACACTCGGTAAAATAATTGCGCTCGGCAAAAAACACTTGGCAAAGCTTGGCACTCGACAAACCAGAAAAAAAAAACACTAAGCAAAAGCTAGGCACTCCGTAAAGAACCGTCACGTGGACATTCGTCAGTCCGTGTGCCGTCCGTTAGGACGTTTGCCGAGTGTCCGTTAGTGGAAATACTCGGCAAACAAATACACTTGGCAAAAGAGCCAAAAAAACACTCGGCAAAGACAGGCACTCGACAAAGAAATATATTTGCCGGGTATAATTATTTGGCACTCAGCAAAAAAATATGTTTGCCGAGTGTAATTACTTGGCATTCGGTAAATAATTTTATTTTTTTCTCTTCTGACCTTCAAACTTTTTCTACTCTCCACATACAATATATGGTACTCCATGTTAAAATTTGGTATACATCTACGTCTAGTTGCTATATTTAATTAATTTATTGTATTTCTAGGAATTTTTTGTATAAGTTAAATTTGAACTGCAAGTGATTCAAATAATAGAATAAAATGAGTAGAAAAATGATATTCCTGTTGTTGAGTCCAGTGTGAGGCCTTACCAGGAAAAAAAATTCAAACAACTTATTTAGGAAACACGACCACGAATGTGTGGCCGAATGATTTTTAAATTCTAAAAAAAGCAAACGAAGTCTGAAAATCACGAGATTTGTCATGATGTGATGATATCATACGTGGAGGCTATGGTAAAAAATTGAGAAGGTTTCGCATAATTTCTCACCTACGATGCTTACAAACCGAAGCATCTCTGAAGAAGAATCGTAGCGTTGAGAAGAATTCGGTACGATTTGGAGTCAAAGTGACGGTCGAATTGAGGTTTGACTTCAAAACTTTTTATATAGGCAATAGAGAACATAGATTGTTTCATATGAAATTTTGGGATCCGTTTGATAATTTTAATTTATTAAGTGCAATTATAGAATTTTAATTGATATAAATTAAATTTGAGTTGTAACTATAAAATAATGGAATCGTATTCGTAGAAAAATCATATATATATATATTGTTGAGTCAATTTGACAAGGTATTTTCAAAGTACATCGAACAAAAAAAGAAAAACACGTTATGGAAAACAAGGAAATGAAAAAATAACTAATATATTTGTCGAGTGCCCCAAACCCTAGACACTCGGCAAAGATAGGTTAAGTTTACCGAGTGCCGTGGTCTAACAGTCGGCAAAGCCATCTTTGCCGAGTGTCCTAGATCCAACACTCAGTAAACTCAACACGCTATAAACTTAAAGAAACACGCTCTGCCACGTCAACGATCCGTGTCTCCAAAATCGAGCTCTCCCATTGGCCCGAACCTCTTCTCCCTGGATCCCTCCCCTCTTATCCCTTCCCTCTCTCTCTCCTTATCCATACCTCTCACCTCATCTTCCAAGGGCCAAGGGCAGGAGGGCGGCGGCGGGCGTGGGACACCGGCCGCGGCGGGCGACGGGCGGGGCAGCACCGCGGCAGGAGGCAGCCACGGCCGGGCGTGCGGGGCGGCGCAGGCGGCCAGGGCTGAGTCTGTAGCGGTGCAGGCAGGGCGGCGGTGAGCGTGGGACACCAGCCCGCGGTGGGCAGCGGGGCAGGAGGCGGCCACGGCCGGGCGCGCGGGGGTGGCGCGGGCGATGGGAGTGGCGGCCACTGCGGGCGCGCGGGCGGTGGAGCGGGGAGCGGCAGGAACGACAGCGGGAACACTAGGACACGGCGGCGCCGGTGCGTTCCGTGGCTGTCGTCGCGGCCACCGGCGTGCGCTTGTTGGACGCCGAACGGCCACCGGTGCGGACCACGCCGGTCAGGGACGGGCACAGCGCGAGCGGCCTTTTTTTTATTTTCGCAAAAACCATTGTTTGCCGAGTGTTTTTTTTTCCGTCGACACTCGGCAAACAAGACATGTTTGCCGAGTGCCTATGCCGTTAGACACTCGGCAAACGCGCCATGAACGTCTTCTCGGCGTCACATTGTTTTTTTTTGCCGAGTGTTGGTTTTAGCACTCGGCAAAGTCTTTGCCGAGTGCCCGATAAAAAACACTCGGCAAAGAAACGTTTGCCGACTCTGTGTACGCCGAGTGCCGTTTGCCGAGCGTAACATACGGCAAAGCCTTTGCCGAGTATTTTTTGGGCTTCGCCGTGTGCCGTGGGCACACGGCAAACTTCCAGATTCTGGTAGTGAATGTTCAAAAAGGGTTGAAATATATTCCCTCACTTTGACCGTCGGCTTATCATCAGGCAGCAAAGCATGAAATCCTCTTCCAAATAAATTCGTCATTGCTACAATTCCAATTGATTCTTGTGGATGCCATATCTCAGGTTAATGTAATTAACGATGGCAAACAGACAATTATCTCAAGGAAAAAAAACCAGCTGCGCCTTCCGTTTTCTTCCATGTACCTATCAGTAACTTGCAGCTATACAGTATACAGTGCTGATGTGATAATAAGGTCGTCCTTGCTTCCTCTTTGGTTTCTCCCAACACTTTGAACGTAACTGCATATGTATCCAAAGGAAGGAACGGCAAAAGCAAGAGACATCTTCACATGATCCACGACAAAACATGACCCTTTTAGTCTAGAGAATATCATCACTAGCTATACACGCTACCATAGCATAGCATGACCAACCCAACCAAAATCCTCTACGTGGTGCTGCTCACCGCGGGCGTCACTCTGATGCTCGTCGTCCACGTCCTTGTTGTTTTCTGGGCTATAAAGGGGGGACTCGGCTCCCGTGGCCGTGGCGCCACGCGCGCCATTGAGGAGGACGGCCACGGTGGAGGACTGTCCGCCGGCGAGCTCGTCAGGCTTCCTTGCCACGACTTCGAGTCTGCAGACGGCGAGGCCGGCGGGGACTGCGCGGTCTGCCTCGAGGCGTTCGAGGCCGGCGACCGGTGCAGGCAGCTGCCACGGTCAGGGGCGAATCTAGAGAGGTTCATCAGGTCCGCCGATCCCTACAAAATTTGTAAAATGCTTGGTAAATTATAGTTCAAACCTACGGAAATTTATATCACATAATGAAGTTGACCCCAATAATGTTTTCAGCTAGATTCGCCACTGGCCGTGGTGCGAGCACAGCTTCCACGCAGAGTGCGTGGACTCGTGGCCGACGAAGAGCAGCGTGTGCCCCGTGTGCCGTGCCGACGTGGTGGACCAGGTGCCCAAGGGCGAGGCGAAGGCGGCGGCCTCATCAGGGGTCGTGGAGATGGCGGAGATGAGAAGCTCCGACGCCGCATTGGAGATCGTCACTGAAAGATAGGATGCCTACTCGCCTAGGTACGTACGGCCCTTGGCAGTTGGGACTAGGGACGGCGGCACAGTGCGTTGGTGCAAGCACTACTACAGTACGTACTAGATTTTGTTGCTTGTGCAAGCATGTGCATATCTTCCTTTAAGCCGCACCCCCAGCTCCACCTGTAAGATAAATGTACCATTTTTATCTTGATTTTACCATATGCATGATGGTAGAAATGTTGGCATGCATTTGATCAATTTGAGACTATTTACATATATATTTATAGTGTTTGGTTGACTACTATGTCTAGGTTTTTTTAGTGTCGCCGAACAATGCTTTCTAGAGACGGTGTTCTCTATTAATTATCATCAATGACCCACATTGTTTTTAGAGACCAGATGAGTTAGACGCCGTCTCTAGGAAATATATATAAGAGAATCCATCTTCAATCACAACCACAATTTTAGACTTCTCCTAGTGACGTGGGCTTCTCCTAGTGTTTATCATTCAAAATTTAGTATAAACTAGTGAGGATTCCCATGTACTATGACTAGTGATAGTGTTTTATGATAAAAAACACTAGGAGAATTCCACCATTTTAGTAGTGAATTTCAACTTCTTCTATGGAAATTTAGCTTCTATTGTCCGGCCATCACCGCCACCGCTCCTCCTTGTGATCTTGCTTCTGCTCTTTCGTCGTGCAGCATACCACCAGGTCTTCACTGACGGGTTCTCCGAGATCAAGAGCCAGCGACATCTCCCTACCTCCCTACTATAGATTGAGCATCTGCAAAACACCATAGCTAGATCTACATAAGTGGGTGAGCGCCACGAGGGGAGAGATCGATATGACAGGAGAGACATCGAGGTAGCACCTCTGCAAATAGGGAATGGATAGAGAGGAAGCACCCTCTGTGCCCTGCCCACCTCCTCCATGTTTCTCTAGGCCTTGTCTGCACCGCCCTCAGCCTTCGTGCCCATTGGCATCCTCCACGTGCACTGCTCGCCAGCCTCCACACAGTGCCATCCTAGGTCTCCTCCGTGCACCGCCCATTGGCATCTGCACTGACCTCAACCTCTATGCCCACAGGACATCCTATGCGCATGCCACACGCCGGCCTCCTCCGAGGCTTGCCCTACCAGGCTCCTTCGTGCTTGCGGCACCTCTTCTATGCAGGCTGCCTGTAGGCCTCCTCCACCAGATCTAGGTGATGATTTGTCTACACAGGAAAAAAAAGGGACAGTAGATGGATCGGTGCACGCACACGCGCGCGCGCGCGCACACACACACAGAGAGAGAGAGAGAGAGAGAGAGAGAGAGAGAGAGAGAGAGAGAGAACAGGGAGAATAGAGGTGTGAGGGAGTTAGGGTTGTGCGTGTAGGAGAGGATTTATGGGCCTCAAGGTTTTTTAGAGGTGGGCCTCATAGAAATGTCCACCTATGGAGCCATTGGCTCCATTTACTGAGATGCTTGTTGATTGGTTGTCTCCTTAATGGACTTAGTTACCGCCTTTGAAACTTGAAAGGTGTTTTAGGAGACAGAAACACTTTTGGCCTGCCTCTGTAAATAAGAGGGTTTGTCTTCAGAAATCTTTTTTTGTACTAGTAGTTTGGTTCAAGGATGGGATGGTGATAGTGTGACACATACAATTCTAGCCCTGAGTGTAATGATCCACTTATTTGCTTTAGGAATATAAGTTTCTGAGGAATATAATGAGCTAGTCAATAACATAACAACACATAGAAGAAAGCTTCGCCTATCAGGTTTGCATGTATGATGGCACATCAATGTTTACATGAGACATTTTAATTACCAATGTTTTTCTTGACATTTCTATTCCACACACTAGTTCAAAACTGTTTTTTTGGAGACAACCCAATCCATCTTTAGAGGCGGCCACATGTACCTCCACCTCTTGACCTCCTGCCGATGTGGAATTATGCACCACCAGATCTCGTGAGTCGTCTATAGTTTCATGGATGGTTGACAGGAGCAGGCTGTGCATATCCAGTTGTAGTTTAAGCTTGATTTGGGTCAAGTGAAGCTTGGGGCTTGTTACTCTTGGCGCTCGTCAATACCAAGTGATTGCCTATCTGGAGATGCAGAAGTGCATTTAATTCGTGAGGACATTACTCTTAGAGTGCCTCGAGAAGGACCTATACAATTTAGTGAGGTGCTCCTACAAGTACTGGGGAAGAGTTCCACACTACTACACGAATCAATTTGCGCAGCGTGGCCAAAATGGGCTCCGTGGCGGGCACCACTTTTGCCCGCCACGGTTAACCGGTGGCCGGCCACCGAGGCCGGCCACCGAGGCGCCCGCTGCTGGAAAAGAGTTTACGCGGCGGGCCACCTTACTTGCCCGCCGCAGAAATTTATATTTATCCAAGGGGCGGATGAATGGCCCGCCGCGGTTAATAAGATTAACATGGCGGGCCACATTAATCGACCGCCCGCAGAAATTTATATTTACGCGGCGGGCGGCATAAATTGCCCGCCGCGGTTAATAGTATTTACCGTGGCGGGTTGTTTAAACTGCCCGCCGCGGTAAAGCCTCTATAAATACGCCGCCTACTTCATCTTCTCCACGGGTCTTCTGGTTCTTCGGTGTTCGTTTCGCAGAGCTGTACTTCTCCTCCGCGCTGGGCCCCGTCCCCGGAACCCTAGCGCCGGCCACCGCACGCGCCCCCCGCCCCCGTCCTCCTCCCCCCGTGCCCGTGCCCACCCCTGCCCCCTCTCCCGGAACCCTTGCTCCAGCGCCGCTTGAAGCTCCTCCGCTGGGGCCCTGGCCCCGAACCCTAGCGCCGGCCACCGAGCTCCTCCGCGATCACCGTCCACACGCCGGGCCCCGTCCTCCTCCCCGGTCACCGTCCCCGTCCTCCTCCCCGGTCACCGTCCACACGCCGGGCCCCGTTCTCGGAGCACAGACGGGCTCTAGCCGCTACCTCCTCACTTGGAACCTGCTGCGCCCAGGCCGAGGTAAGAACTAGGCCGAGGTAAGAACTACGTAGTACCTTGGTTCTGTAATTACAATGCTGTCTCCAAAGCTCAAATTTTATTCTTGTAGTAACTGCTATATTTTCCCCATCTGAAATGTAATTAGAGATTCACATTTGGGCTATCCTAGCTTTCTCTAGGTTCCACTACGTTGTTCTGTCTACTGTGAAAATGCAAAACTGTCTTTCCTTCAGGTATGATGAGGAGTCTTCTAATTCTTCTGTTAACTTAGTGTTTAAGGCAGTTTTCAGTTAGGGTCTGTTTCATAGAGCTCTTAGAGCTGTTTCCAGGCTTAGTTATAAATTATATGCTCATTATGCCAAGCAACTTTGAATATGTAGTCACGTAATTCGTGGATAGGAATTTTCAATATCGCCCATATTTAGCCATGAAACCTGGCTGTCTTTTTAACAATCCCCTTTATAGGCTTATCTCCAACAGGGTTGAGCTGTTTCCATATTTAGCTGGAATTTGTGACCTATTTATACAGGGTTGTCTCCAACAGCATCGAATCTCAACAGCATTGTCTCCAACAACCTATTTGTGAGAAATTTGAGATGAATTGGTCACTCTGCTGCAATTTCTAGTAGTATACTATTACTACTGCCTACTACTTTCTCTACTTAATCTATTCCTATACTTAATTTTGAGATGACCTGCTGTGAACAAGGGGTATAGTAAACTCCTTTTGGAATGGACGGCTGAAAATTGTACAGGATAAACTACACTTGGTGAATTTTGAACTGCTATACTACTGATCTATGATGCTTTTGCTGAACCGTAGCATTTGAATTCAATTCTTTTTGCTGCCTATGATGCCAAAGAAATTTGTGACAAAATTCTGAGCATATGGCACTGCCTATGATGCACCTTGCCTTTAAACTGATCACATGCTAAAGTTGTGAGAATTTTGAGATGAATTGGCCACTCTGCTGCAATTTTGCCAAATTTGATATTATTTTGGTGGTGGTGCTACCTATTTCTCTACTTAATCTATTCCTATACTGTCTGCTACTACTGTCCTCCTATACTACTCCTATACTACTGCTATACTACTGTTGTATACTACTACTACTGCCTACTACTACTCCCTCCTCCTCTACTCCCTCCTCCTCGATCTACTGCCTACTCCTCTACTCCCTCCTCCTCTACTGCCTACTCCTCTACTATCCTCCTCTGCAGCTCTTACTCTACTCCTCTTACTCTACTCTACTCTACTCTCACCTCCTCTAGTCTTCTACTCTATCTTGATGGCCGAAGGACTTAGCCCTTTGGGGCCAAATTTTGAAACTATCTTGATGGCTTTTGTTTGGTATTTGCAATGATGATTCTTTTCACACTTCTAAGCTGAGGCAGTGGCATATGCAATGATGTGAACCCTTTTATGCTGAGGCAGCGGCGATGATGATCGAGTGCCCCCGCTAAACTAGGATGGCTTGTATACCAGATACAAGCAACCAGTTTAAAAGCGATGTGATGACTATGGGGCAAATCTGAGCCAACTACTACTACTTTAAGGCTAAGCATAAGAACCGCATCAAAATCAGACGCAACTTTCCGGTAAGTATTTGAAAGGTTTAATTGTGCTTTCCGTTCATATGCGTTCTAATGCCTGTGTTGTAATGCTTTATGATCGATCATGCAAGTGTGCCTAAACAACCGGTAGGATCACAAACCTGTGGCTTCTACTACTGTGAGATCCCGAGGTGTGCAAGCGAAGACAAAGAAAGCAATTGGAAGGTGCTCAAGAATGGATTGAACTGGTCGAGAGACATGCAGAGCATCCAACACAGCTTCAAGCAGACAAAGGCGGACATATGTAAGTTTGTCTTAGACAAATGCGTGCTTGAAGGGGGCACGTTCTTCCATGAGAACAGCCAGCTAGCGATGTTACCGGAGTACGAGAGGCTGAGGAAATAGCCCACGATGATGCATCCGCAGGATTACACTTTAGCGCATGTATAACGACTTTAATATGTAAATGTAATGAATTAACGATGACAAGAACGACTAAGTGAATGTATAT